ATCTGCCACCCCCTGCATTACAGCACCATGATGAGAAAAACATTCTGCAGTATGCTGGCTGCAGGTGTGTGGGGGCTCTGTGCCTTCAACACAGCCATCCAAACTGGGCTGATGCTCCACTTGAATTTCTGTGGCCCCAATGTGATTACCCATTTCTTCTGTGAGATCCCACCTCTGCTACTTCTCTCCTGTAGCTCCACCTATGTGAACAGTGTCATGATTGTCCTGGCTGATGCCTTTTGTGACATATTGAACTTTCTGATGACTGTTGTGTCATATGGTTTTATCATCTCTAGCATCCTAAAGATGAGGACCAAAGAGGGGAAGAAGAAGGCCTTTTCCACCTGCTCTTCCCATCTCATTGTGGTGTGCATGTACTACACAGCTATCTTCTATGCCTACATAAGCCCAGTCTCTAGCTACAGTGTAGAGAAGAGCAAGTTCGCTGGAGTGCTGTACACTATGCTAAGCCCTACCCTGAACCCCCTCATCTATACCTTGAGAAACAAGGAGGTCAAAGCAGCCCTCAGGAAGCTTTCCCCCTTCTTCAGACACTAGTTTATGCCTTTTGAAGCTCTTCTCCTTGGAGATTGCAGATATGGTGAAGAGTTCTTTAAGCAAGTTTTTGGACTGGAAGGTAAATAATCCTGGCTTTTCCACCCCAGTGGAACATCTTCATGGATGAGCTTGGACTTACAGTTCCTGGAGACTAATGTGAAGATTGTGGTTGATGTGATGCCACATTGTCTCTGAGAAATCGGGTCTCATTATCTGACATCCTAGTTAAGTGCTAAGTTGGTAAGGAAGGAAAGCTCTCTAAATCCCAGTGCCAGCGAGTCAATTCCAATTCACAGCGACCCTATAGAATGGAGTAGAACTGCTGCCATAGGGTTTCCATGGCTGTAAATCTTTATAGAAGGAGACTTCCTCATCTTTTTCTCATGGAGGCTGGTGGGTGTGAACCACTGGCCTTTTATTTAGCAGCTCAATGCTTTAACCACAGTGCCACCAGTGCTTCTTTAAAGCTGTTGAGGAGAGGAAAAGTCCCCTTCTGTTTTAGAGTTACAGCTAAATGAAAATGATTTCCTTTTCTTTTCTTCTTTCTCCCGTTTTTTCTTCTTCTACTCCTTCATGTTTTGTGTATGTAATGTCCAATGCTATAAATCCTAAAATCACACCTAGACTTTAGACAGGCCTGAAAAGAATTACACAGGTTGTATGGACCACATAGCACGTGGAAGGGAGAGTTTTAGACTGAAGAATTGATTTAAGTTCTTTAAGAAATCTTCCACCTCCACTATCTTACCTCATGTGTTTCTTCTGGAGTCAGCTTGATTCCCAACAATAGTTTCTGATTCCAGGGAAAGCCGTTTATCTTATCACTGACACTCAACGTAAAGTATATTATTAAGATCACTTTATTCTGAATGCAGAACTTCCAGCTAAAATAAAACCTGATTCATGGCTTTTGCATTTCATCCTTGTTCTGGTTACCCAGTGCCGCTCTGACAGGAATATACCATAAATGGGATGGCCTTAACAAACAGGAGTTTATTCTCTTACAATTTGGAGACTTTACATCCAAGTTCAAAGTGCCAGGCTCTAGGGGCTGACTGAAAGCTCCTCAACCTTGGGGTCCAGCTCTGCCTCCTGCTTCCAGCCCACTGGAGCTAGAGGCATTTCTTCACTCAGACAGCTGCTGGCTCCTGAGGCTGAGAGGCCCCAAGGTTGAGAATTAAAAAGGCACAGTCCTGATGTTACCAAACCACATGCCAGGACATTAGTTTAAGTCCATTGTAAGTCCCAAGGTTGGCAGAGCAGACCAGGCTGCTGAGCAACGACACAGCTACATTCAGGGTCCAAGCGTGCCATAGGCCAGAGACTATCCCCAAGGCTTCTCCTTATATACAGGAAGCAGACCACATCCCAAAGGCATCTACGCACCTTCTTGTGGTAGGTCCCACAAGCGCCATGGAGATGACTGCCAGTATCATCAAGGGGAATAATGACCACCAGCTGCCCAGCCACTCAACCAGGCCAGGCAAGTTGACATACAAATTTAACTACCACAATCCTTCTTAGTTTTTTTAAAATACATTTTGTTGAAATACAATTTATATTCAGTGAAATACACAAAACTAAAGTGACATGGGTCAACGCTTTTTTTTTTTTTTTCAGTGTTCCCTTCCCTCCTCTCCCACCCCTGGTAACCAACAAAAAAGTTTCCTTCCATATATAAACCTTTCCTTGACTTTTTACAATAATGAACTAATATTATATTTGTCCTTTTGTGATTGACTGAATTCACTCAGCATAGTGTCCTCCAAGTTCATAATGTTATGTGGTGTTTTGCAGATTCTACATTACTTTTTAGTGTTGTATAGTATTCCATTGTGTGTATGTACCATAGTTTGGTTATCCATTCTTCTGTTGATGAGCACCTAGTTTGTTTCCATGTTTTTGCTATTGTAAATAGCGCTGCGATGAACATAGGTATGCATACATGTGTTCTTGTCCTGGCTCCCACTTCTTTAGGATATATGCCTCGTCATGAGATTACTGGGTCAAATGATATTTCTAATGCCAACATTTTAAGGAATTGCCATACTGTTTTCCACAGTGGTTTTATCGTTTTACAATTGCCAAAGGGGCAGGGAGGCCTCATCTTCTGACCTCCTGTAACCCCACAAGAGGAGGACAGAATCACCATCAGTAGCCCAAGGCCTATCCCTATGAGGCCAGACATGCCGCCTCCCTCCAGCCCTTTCACTAATCCCAACACCAACTGTTCCTCCTGCAGCACCCACCACCTCTCTTCTAGGTTTGATAATTTGCTGCAGTGACCACACAGAACTCACAGATTATGGCGTTTGTTAGGGAAGCACCAGGCTACAATTCAAGTTCAGGAACACACTCAGTCTCTCTCAGCCCACCATCTCTCAGCCAACAGTCTCTCTGAGTCTCTCTCCCAGTAGTGTGTGTCTCTCAGTGTCTCTCTCTCAGCAGCGTGTGTCTCTTTCTCCTCAGCACATGACTCTCAGGAGCATGTGACTCTCAGCAGCATGTCTTTCTCAGCCAGCAGTCAGAGAGACTTCTACCTCTAGAAGGGCTCCTTTTGAGCCTGGTAGAGTGACCAAATGAACCAACCACAACTTCTGAATTCTAAACACCTGAGAGAGAGCAAACTTCCCAGAACATTGCTTTGTGCCACTCTCAACAGAAATACCCCAGGTGGATAACTTTAACAATCAGGAACTCCTCAGTTGCTCAAGGCAAATCCCACCATGGAGTTTACAAACACTTATGGCTAGAAAATCTGTACCAGGTAATTTACTTACACCACAGGCCACCCCCTGGCTTTTCTAGCAATTATACCTTTTCTACTTCAAAAATTAACATCCCCTTCACCATCAATTTAAGAATAACCATATCTGTGAAAGCCTGTAAGCCAGCCACTTCATGCCTTTATTTCCCCCATTTTAGATAGCCAATTTCTAATTTGCCCATCCCTATCAAACCAGTATTTTTGAGGAGACAAGCATGTTGTTTTCTCTGAAGAATCTTCTTTTCTGTTTGGAAACTTTGGGCATCGGCATCCATAAACAAGCAAAGTTCAGCCCAGCACAAGCCATCAGATTGCAGCAACTTAACACTAGCTCAGTGTCAAACATCTTCTTCTTCATTTGGTTGGGTTCTGGTCAGCTCAGCCCCAGCCATCCCAGCTAGGTCATGGGTACCAGCTGCCAAGTTTGGGAGTCACACTCTTCCCTTCATTTCAGACCAGCCATCACCTTCTCTCACATCCTCAGTGATTATTTCAATGCCCATGGGCTCACAACTCATTGCACTTCAGACCAGCCAGCCCTTCCTCTCATTCCCAGCCTCTGTGGCCTAGGTCAAAGAGTACCAAACTCAGCCCATTTCTTTTTTGCTGCACTTCCCCCATTTCCACTCAAGTGGACCCAGGTGGTCACAAGCAAGCAGTGAACAAGCCTACTACTTGCTGGCTTCCTTTAACTTTCAGTCCTGGAAGGGGTTTCTCTCATAGACCATGACTTTCCTGTCTCGATGCACCCAAAACCTATCTGCTTGCTCAAAATTCAAAACACCAAACAGTTATTTTATTTTATTTTTTCTCTTCAGGTCCTCTCTTCAAATGCAAATCTTCTGTTCCCTCGGTAGTTCTGGGTGGGGCTCAGATTTTCTACCTAAGCCCCCTATACCCTACTCACAGGGTTTGAAACAAAAGCCTGTGTTTCTTCTGGGCAAATTCTATTTCTCTTTTCAACATATCCCATCAAGTATCAGCTGAAGGTGGACTTACACACTCTCTGTTATCCATACCCCATAATCATCTCTAATGTACAAGCAGGTAAGAGAACGTTCAATACCGGTAGTACATTCAGATAAACACATAATCCAAAACACATAATCCTTTTTAAGACATTCCAGGTTCATCTCTTCGCCTTGATTACCTTCCCATTCTATGTATACAGCCTTGGGCCTTTGGCTGGGGGTAACCAAAAGCCCTGGCCTCTGAATCAATTACCTCCCTTAAGAGGTAACACCAACCAAAGTAACCATCTAAGAATCCAAAGTTTCACTTCCCAGGCCCCTTCCTTCTTTATTTTACAAAGCCCATGCTTCTATGAGTCTGGAGCCACTACAATGAATCCCACCACTTCTGATCCCAACTGCCAAAGGGGCAGGGAGGCTGTATCTTCTGATCTCCTCTAACCCCACAAGAGAAAGACAGAATTACCATCAGTAGCCCAAGGGTTATTCCTGTGAGGCCAGACATGTCACCTCTCTCCAACTCTTTCATCAATCCCAACACCAACCGTTCCTCCGGCAGCACCCACCACTTTTCTGCTGAGTTCAATAATTCACTGCAGCAGCCACACAGAACTCACAGATTATGGGGTTTATTAGGGAAGCACCAGGCTACAATTCAAGTTCAGGAACATGCTCAGTCTCTCTCAGCCTGCTGTCTCTCAGGCAACAGTCTCTCTCAGTCTCTCTCCCAGCAGTGTGTGTCTCTCAGTGTCTCTCAACAATGTGTGTCTCTTTCTCAGCAGTGTGTGTCTCTTGGTGTCTCTTTCTCCGCAGCATGTGGCTTTCAGGAGCACATGGCTCTCAGCAGCACGTATTTCTTAGCCAGCAGTCAGAGAGACTTCTACCTCTAGAAGGGATATACTGGTAGAGTGATCAAACTAACAAATCACAACATCTGAATTCTAAACACCTGAGAGAGAGAGAACTTCCCAGAACATTGCTTTGTGCCACTCTCAACAGAAATACCCCAGGTGGACAACTTCAATGATCAGGAACTCCTCGGTTGTTGTCGGCAAACTTCACCACTGAGTCCACAAAGACTTATGCCTAGAAAAGCCATACCAGGTAATTTATGACACCACAACAATCCTACCAGCAGTGTATGAGAGTCTCAATCTCTCCACGTCCTCAAAAGCATTTGTTATTTTCTGTCTTGTTGAGCATAATTCTCCTTAATTTTGTTTTGAGAAAGTGAGGATTTACCTACCTCCCTGAAATGGAGT